CCCCCGGCAGGATGTCACCATGTGTCCCCTGCAGGTTCCGGGGCTGGCTGGTGCGCAGGGTCTGTGGCTTCCTGGCTGCCTGGGAATGGAGAATTCCAGCGGAGAGYCCCGGGGAGCTGCTGACACGGATCTGCAGCAGCAGGAGGTGGGTGGGAGCAGCCGGGGGSATCTCAGGGTCACCCTCAGCGAGGAGGGTCTGGGCCCAGCCCTGGGGGTCCTGTTTGGTGCCTGGATCCCAGGACAGTGGGATCCTGGAGGGCCCCTGAGGCTCTCTGGATGCCAGCACGTGGATGCTGGGGTGCTCAGCCCTTCCCCACTCCCTCCCCAGGGTGCAGGATGCTGCCTCAGGCCGGGAGCCTGGATCCRGAGGGGATGAGGGATTCTGGCGGCGCTGCAAGGAGGAGATCTGCCGTGTCCTGGGGGAAATCCAGGCCCCGCTGTCCCCTCTGCTGCTGAGGTGCTGGATCTTTTGGGGAAATGTTGTGGGATTCTCTGGGGGATGGATACAGATCCTTTGGGAGACATTTTGGGTTTTTGGGGGATGCACACGGATCCTTTGGGTGTTTTGCAGTGATCTTTATGGGGGATGTGCTGGCAAGTTTTGGGGGATATTCTGGGATCCTTGGGAACTGCACCAGGATTATTTTGGCTCACTGCCCTCTGGATCCTCTGTAGCTCCTGGGGCCATTCCCCCAATTCCCCCCGAGGGGCTGGAGTGGGAAAATCCAAGCCCTGCAGGAGGGAGGGAAGCAGAGGGAACTTTCCTTGTCTCTTCCCCATCCCATCACTGACAACTGGGAATGTGGGGCTTCACTGCTGGCCTGGCCAAGAGGATATAAAGAGTCGAGTACTTGTGAGCCAGTGAAGGGAAGGCATTCCCAGGGAATGGGAAATTGCCCATGGAAAAGAACGTGTGGGGATGCCAAGGGAGGACAGGGAGATGGAGGGGATGCAGGATAACCAAGGACAACTCCAGTTGCCCGTGGATAGTGGGATGTCTCATCACATGCAACCTTTCACCTTTGTCAAAGCTGGGAATTTGGCTTTRTGGGAGCTGAGATGGGAATTGTGAGCAGGGATGGGTTGGGGAAAGTGAGGCAGGGAGGGTTTGGGGCAGCCCTGTCAGCGGCAGGGTTCCTCACTGTCAGTTTTCCTGCAGGCTGTGTCACTGGCTGCTCCCCAAGCTSCTGAGCCGCGTGTTCCTGAGCGTGCAGCTGCACCGGGGGCAGCTGGAGATGGTGCTGCGAGCGGCCAGGACGGTACGGAGCGCGGGCGGGCAGCGCCAGCCTCCGGAACGCCGGGAATTCAGCCCAGGATCCCTCACTTGCAGCCCAAGGTGCCGCTGGTGTTCCTGTGCAGCCACCGCTCGTGGGTGGATGGGCCGCTGCTGTCCTTCGTGCTCCTGTCGCAGGGGATCGGGGTGCCCCGGGTGACGGCGGGCGCCTGCAGCAGCCCTCGCCTCAGGTA